CTTTACTTCTCATCTTCGAGTTACACAGGCTGTGTTGAGTAGTGCACTCGACATCTGCTTTTATAAACACACACTACTACGTAGGCGCTGTCGTAGGTTTGTCAGTGTAACTTTGCTTCCTGAAGCGAGTAAGCTTTAACGAGATCGACAAAATACGTGTACATATTTTGCTGCTGTGTCTTACCACAGAACACCATTCATTCTAATGCAGCGATACGCTAATTTAGTAATAGCGGACTGTTCACGTTGATATGTGCATTGACGAAACGGTCTGAACGTGAACCACGCTCAATGGCCTCACGAAAGATGCAGTATGCGACAAAGGGCATCATACAACTAAGAAGCTTCATCTGTTACGTAAAATATCGTACATGTAAACTAAACGAGGTGAAAAGTTCAAGTTCTGGCAAATGAAGATATTGTTATATGAACTGCATGTGCGGAAATTCTCGCTGTTGCTGAACAGTATTAGTTCTGGTGCTTCCGCATTCATTAAAAACCAAGGAACACCAAACAATATCGTGTACGCTTGCTAGCGGGAGTGTCGCGAAAATTCACAACGCATTCTTGCACCCTACACGTCCATTCTTGCCAGCCTACACACACACACACGCACGCACACAGGGCAAAGTGCTGGGTCATATCACAATTGGAAGGTGCGTACGAAGAATCTCCGGAAATTTATAAGTACATGCAGAAGCACGGCGAGCGCAGCAACAACAGATGCAAGTTAATAAGAAGTGCTGAAGGCAATAACTTACGTTAAATGCATGGTGAAGTCTCGTACTTCTGCAGTATACATACGGAATGTAACAATCCAGATTCGAGACCTCCCTTGCGGGTTTTACAGGAGAGTTTTATCCCTAAAGTACACTCTACTTCACAGATTTCAAGCAGAACATCATACCCTCGAGTCATGCCACAATTCACGTGGAGCCGCAATCATCTCGCGAAGCTTGGAGCTGTGATACAAACGCATGCGTGTTCTGCGGCTTGAACGTTAAAGCGTAGTCATCTGTTATCCGTAAACGCTTCTGTGGCTGTTTGAACTAGAGGTATTACATAAGCAGAGTGGTTGCTAGGAGGCATTTGTACAAGAACAATTGGGAAACACACACACACATGTGCGTGCTTTGTCTCACATTTTCTGTGCTAGTAGCATGTGGTGCACGTTCAAATGTAATAATCAGCCTATTATAAGCCACAGTATGAATAGTTACTTAGGAGTAAGTATTTTCTACCAAATGCGTGCGCACACGTTACCATTTGAGATTTTATGAACAAAAGATATCAATCCTGTAGGGCTAGAATGCACTTCAGAACATTACTGTTGCAGGGAATTACCATGTTCGGTGATTGTGCTGCATTGTACACCTACAGGAATGAGACAAGGTGCAGACACATTAGCTGTAACCGTACAAGGGTGATCAAGCATACACCACATCGTAACGCATGCTTCCATCTCTTCACACGCATTCACAGCACATTGCATGTATGACTACTCATTGTCCGACGAGCGCTGGTCGCAGTTCTTTGTTTGCATGCTTCAAGGCGTAGCAAAGCTGGCGGATGTCGTAGTTCTGTCCATGAATTCCGCATGGTTCGGCGAGGATAACTATGGTGGCACGAAATCCATTGGGTTAATTATAGCACTACACACATCTATTCGGGCCACTCCAATCAACTGAACAAGAGTTCATACCATGACTGCGCGTCAGACGTCATTGTCACGTAGTGTCCGACTACTTGTGGCCATACTTTGTGATGTCACGGGTAGAGCACGTAAGGCGCGACGTTGGAGAGTAACATTTGGGTTAGAATGGTAGCGTGGGCACTTGCGTAGTTTCTAGGCGTCGCAAAAGCTGTCACGGCAGCGTCCGTTGCAGGCAGATTCAGGATTTTCGCACGTGTTATCCATAGTTTCAGAGCTTCTGTTCTGTCTTCTTTGTCGCAGCCAGGGTAGCCCAAGCGTCGCTTCTTAATGGTCCCCGGGGAATCTGGCAATGAAGACATTGCTCCTGGCGCGTTGTGGAATGAAAAGAAAGCTAAGTATGTCGACTAGCGGGTTTCTAAATTAGGCTATGACGGACAGAGTTGTCATAGCATTTGACCTTCAGTGCATACTTTATTTTAGACAGAACAATGATGTCTTGCTTGATGCTTCAGCCTACTACTGTCACGTCACCCACCTAGAGAGCGCTCGCATAACGCATCAGTTCTAGTGGCAAAATGAAAGTGTGGGCACAACGGATCTCTGGGGCTACCTGGTGCGCTGTTCACTGAGCCTGGTCATACTTATGCAGGGGGCTGTACGTGCGGTGCGTCGCCTTGTGCTCAAAGGCAGGGTTGTACATTGATGCCTGTTGCAGCATGTGAGACCAGCCGGACGTGGTAGTTACTGGCGAGGGTAAGATTGGCAATGCAACCGACCAGGCCCGATTTGTAGCGCCCTCTGGTCACGTGGGCAACGTCGCCAATGCCACCTGCATTGACCACAAGAAATGACGTGACAGAATACAGCAATCTAAATGCATCTTTCTGCTTCAGTACTTAAAGCAAATCATCGTCAATTGATGGTTTCGATGAACACATTACAGCACTACCGACATCTCCCAAAGCTTCATATACCACCCTGTTGTTCATGTTCAGAAAGTGGATATGCTCTGATCATGCCGTATACCTGCTTGAAATCCATCTGGTGGGAATAATTGCTGTTAGTTCATAATTGCAGCGTCGTTAATTGAGTCATCATAACTACGTATACCTCCACTACCTGGTCTGTTCCACAGAAATGTTAGTGTTCACCCGGTCATTATGTTGCGGTAGTGCAGCGCCTAAGCAATACTAATATACGCTGTCAGCCTAAATCAGCATGCATTCATACTTTCAAGGGACAGTGTTTGCCGGCCTCAATACATTCTGTTGGTAACAGAAACATCAATAACTGCCGTTGCATGATACCGCTGCCACTGGCTGTTTTTCATTCCATGAATATGCATCACAACATATATTGACAGCATCCCCTGGGTTTTTCACAAATGACAGTGTACAGCCTTCAGCACATTTAACACGAACACATCGATGCGTGGCTAGGGCTAGTTTGATTGATGCCAGCAGCGAAGTGCTGGGCGCTTTTGCCTACATGATACCTCGGTAGGCTTGGATAGTATGTCATATGTATGGTTAGAATCTTGGCAACAGAACCCAAACGTACGCGGTGTCAGCGTCAATCAAACTACTGCAGGACACGTGGCAGAGTGTTCTTGTTAAAGGTGCTGAACAATCTATCCCCAATAGTTTCTTGAATAAATGGTGTATATTTAGTGCTTCACAACTAACTGATCGATCTATATAATGAACGATTCAAGGTTCATAAAGCTAACAGTGTTCTTTTAATCGTTCATGCCCCAAAATATTGATTCACGCTACAATCAGAGACATAGCACTGTTGTCAATCGTAGTGTCTCGAATGTGCATCACAACTGTCGCAGCTGGTGATGTCTATTTCATCCTCCACAATATTAACCGTTCACCCCTACGCAAATGGGCATTGTTCAGTACACCATTCGCGATAAATAAAACTCTGGAAGCTGGTGGCATATATTGCACCGTTCACAACAGTGCAAAACTGAGACGTGCTCAGGGCGCAAAAACTGAAAGGGTTGATGGCGCATGGTAGACTGTTGCGTATGCTAGACAACAAGACGTCTGAAATCTCACGACCTGTCGTCACTTTAAGCCTTATACATTTGTGTGTTATTTCGGGTGAACGTGTTCTGATCATGAGCAAGCTCACCAATGTAAAGTCCGCTGCGCACGTTCAGCTGCCTCAGTCGTCCTGGGGACGTCACTGCCACGGGGTGATGTCCCGCGAGACCCAGCGTAGCCATCTGACGACTTCGGCTCAAAGCTGCACGATGCCACGGCCGTCGTCAACCCTCGTATTTTCCAGCAGAGCTGCGCCTCCCCTGGAAACCAAGGGTTTGAAGCGTAATTCAGTAGACCTTTCTCCAGACCCAACGACAGATAGTCCGATGGCGAGTACAGGGTACCACGGGTTCTGTTGGCTAGGTCTCCGGCCCAAAACAGCAGGCCGTGACTTGAGAATGACACGAAAGTGCCAGGACAACGTCCAATTGGTCGCCACGTATCCTGGAATTTGCAAGTGGACACATGTCGTGCAGCTATGAATTGCTGTGCATGCAAGTATACGCGAACGTTTGAGCCGCATCGCACGTACATGTCACGATCCATACATCCCTTCTGTCATACCAAACGCGCTGTCGAACTGAACGCTCACTCCCACTAGTAACAGTGTCCTACCTTCACTCACTACCGAAGGCTTCGTTAACAGGCACTATCCACGCTAAACTTCACGTGGCCCATGCTTCAGAATTTCTTAGTAATACCATGGCTGAAAGTATGCCCTGTAGTCCCATCCCTGAGGACCATCATTTGCATGCAACCAACACTACAAGTGCGAAAATGCTTGCAACTCCCCCCATATGACCTGCCTGTTAATATTGGTGGTTACGCCTTCAATATCATAGCCTGTACGACAGCATTCCTAAGTTTTGCTCTCAGTGGCATTGTGTAACAGTGAAGTTTCCAGCAATTTATTTCAAAAGAGCCGTACATAGTGCACTCGACGTGCTGCAAAATCAACTTTCGTCGCATGTGCGAGTTCCAGAGAGGCCGTGATCTCCGTCATCTCGGTGTCGTGCCCCTTCATGTATAAAAATATCGTACTGTTTGTAACAGTAAAAAAACGTCATTTGGGCCCAGTTACTACATATCTTGTGGTAAAAGTTGCAGCGCAAACAACAAAGAAAAGAAAATGATTCCGTTGTCGTGTAATTTTTTGTGGGGCATCTTCTGTATTTGCGTTGCTCCTTTTACCTGAGCTGTTCGTAACAGTATCCAGTGAATGATAAGCAGAACAAGTCATTCGCAATTGTGTCTTAGAAACGTACCTTCGCATGATGTCACTGATGTGTAATGTAGGTAGCTGGCTCCACCCATCATTGGTTCTGCAATGGCCTCCTTCACCTCTGCAAAAATCCCACACGTCTCACCTTTACTACACTCATTTCTACCATAAACTGCGTGAGCAGCAAATTAGCTGCACTGCGTCTGTTACAGCTACCGAACACATTCGCGATGTGTGTGTGCATGTAGACATTATGCGTGCGACACATCTCACAGAAAAAGACGGCCGAATGAAAGCGTCGCATTCTTTGCAATGATGCACCACAGGATCACTAACTACAAATGAATGATGCATAATTAACAGTCTCGAGCACCCTGCCTCTCCATCCCACTGCATTATGTTTGGCAGCATTACACATTCATACTATGAAGTCTCGATAGCCTTGGTTGCGACAGCATTTATTTGAAGAAAGACCTCGCAAAACGAACAGGCAGAGCCAGTACAATAACGATGACGATGATGATGGCCCAGAGTGGCCATGAGGCAGAGGCGAGCGGATGATGGTGATTATGATCATGCAGGGATGAGAATGATGTAAGTAAAAACGACCACACTAATTCCCCCCACTTGGAAGCGGACACCTTGGCCGCCGTAAGTCAAAGTGACGGGGAACGTCGCGTGAAAGGTTTCATGCGAGAAACGCGGACAATCGCGGTGCTGCGGTAATGGCGGTCTGTTTGGGTGACAAGTGGTGTCATTTGATAATTGACCGGTGAAGTCTGTTCTAAAACTATGTATGGCCCGATGAAGCGCAGTTGGGCTTTGTCATAGAGACCAGGAGTGCAAATAGGTGTCAAAAGCAGTACCTCGTCACCAGGTTGGAAAGACACAACGCGATGGGATGCGTCATAGATGATCTTCCGCATGTGCTGTCTCGCTTCAGTATTGATGCGAGCCTGATGGCGATACTGGGCCAGGCGGGAAATGTATTCTTCGCTAGAAGACTGTCATGAATTGCCATGGCTGTTAAAGAAGGAAACATCGAGAAAGGTAGTCGGGGTGTGTCTGTACACGAGGTAAAACGGTGAGTAGCAAGTTGTTCGCTGAACAGCGGTGTTGTAGGCGAAAGTCAGGAATCGTAAAAGAGTATCCCAGTTTTTGTGGCCCGGTTGAACGTGAACGGCTATCATGTTAGCAAGGGTTTGATGAAATCTTTCTGTGAGACTATTTGTCTGAGGGTGGTAGCTTGACGCTGTATTGTGAGTAGTTACCGAAGCGCGCAGTACTTCATTTACCATTTGTGACAGGAACACTTTGCCACAGTCACTAAGCAGTACACGGGAGCCCCATGACGCAGGATTATGGCGTGAAGAATAAGTCTGCAACTTATACAGCTGAGCCTGTAATAACAGAGGACGTCTCAGCGTATCGTGTCAGGTGGTCCACGGCAGTCACTATCCATCGTTTGCCAGCAGGTGTTACGGTGAGAGGCCCGTAAAAGTTGATACCTACAACCTCGAACGGTATTGAAGGGCACGGAAGTGGCTGTAGAGGTCCAGCAGGTGGAGACGTTGCGAGTTTACGAAGCTGGCATGAGTAGCAGGAACCGACATACCACGCTACACTAGAAGAAAGGCCAGGTCAGTAATAACGACATCGAATGCAGTCAAGGTTTTTTTAAATCCAAGACGACCAGCCGTCAAGTCATCGTGGAAGGCTTCAAGCAATTGAAGTCGAAAAGAGCATCCTGGAACCCAGCGCTGACCATCAGGGTGGTAAATGTGGCGGTAGAGAAGCCCATTGTCCAGCTTAAAGTGCAGGAGTGACGACGAAGTCGCCCGTTTGGTGGATGAGAAACTCCCAAAGGTGGTCCATCATTCGTCTGCAGTATGAATCGGATAGCTGACAGGAGATAAATGTTCCGTTGTCGTCCGAAAAGGGTTGCCCTATCGATGCGAGCGTATAAACTTTGGTAGATGTGGCGGTTGAGTTCTCACCAATGCTGATATGGGTAGTTGGAAGCGGGCAACGAGATAAAGCGTTGGCGCCTTGATGTTTTTTATCTGACCTGTAAGTTATGTTAAAATCGTACTCCTGCAAGCGTAGTATCCACCGACCCAAGCGTCCGGACAAGTTCTTCAGTGTAGAAAGCCAGCATAAGGCATGGTGGTCCGTAATGATTGTGAAGTGACGGCCGTCGGGATAGGGACGGAACTTCTGCAGTGTAGAAAGCCAGCATAAGGCATGGTGGTCCGTAATGATTGTGAAGTGACGGCCGTCGGGATAGGGACGGAACTTCTGCACCAACCAAACCACAGCCAAACACTCTTGCTCAGTTATCGTGTAGTTCTTTTCGGCAAGGGTGAATACACGACTGGCATATGCAACAACTTTCTCTAAGGAAGACTTGTCGCGTTGTAGACGAACTGCTCCTACACCAAGGCCGCTAGCGTCGTATGGAGGATAGTCGATGCGGCTTCGTCAAAGTGGCAAAGAAGAGGTTCAGATGTTAGGGCCCGCTTTACAGGTAGGTAGAATGCCGTTTGACATTCTTGAGACCACAGAAAGGTGACGTTGGAAGCAAGTAGCTGGTGTAATGGAGCAGCAATAGAGGCGAAGTTCTGGGTAAACCAGCAAAAATAGGAGGCGAGGCCAAGGAAACTGCAAAGCTCCTTTGGTCTTTCGGGACGCGGAAAGTGAAGGACTGCAGAAATCTTGTCAGGGTCGGGCCAAACGTCATCTTTGCTAATGACGTGTCCTAAGACCTTGATAGATTTGCTAGCGAAAGAGCATTTCTTTGTGTTTATTTGGAGCCCGGCGCCGGCAATGCACGTTAGAACTTGATCCGATCGTTCTAGGTGCTCAGAAAACGTTGACAAAAAGTTAATAATGTCGTCCAGGTAGCAAAGGCAACTTTTCCACTTCAGGCTGCACAGCACGGTGTCTATCATGCGCTCAAAAGTCGCGGGTGCGTTGCAGAGCCCGAAATACTCACGGCTCGACCACTCCTGAGCACCTGCGTTTATTATAAGTTTGCGCCAGCGACCACAATCAATGGCAGCCAATACACCTCAACACATCGAGAGGCGCACGCATGGGGCTAGTTAGATCGTAGTTTGAGTTATGAAACACTCTCATTACTGTTTATGTATTCTTTTCTTCAGCGTTGTTCGCCAACCACAGTGCTCTGGTGACCGATATTCACTCGGTGCACTTCAGTCAGGTTCGTTTCCTTGTGAGCACAGCTGCTACAAAAACCTCGCGACAAGACTGCAAGTGATCATTTTACACAAACACAGACATACACATTATGCCCTGCACACACATTACTAGATGAGAACTCTAAATGTTAGAACAATGTTTATTAAGCAGAAAATGAAAGAAACCATTTATTTTCAAATCTAGTCTGTTTGCAGGAAGTAGTATGAATAGACTAGAAACTTTCCCTCGTAAGTGATTGTTGCGCATTCTCGGAAGCGCAACTCCAATATGCTATAGTTCTAGCTGTAAATTATTACATCTGGTCCTGCACTGACAGTTTCAGCATTAAAGTTTCTCTACAATATGAATGTTTCCTACCATGTCTCCTTACAGCATACGCGTACAAGTGATACGCTTCACGGTTTAAAAGTTGTGATGTGTGTCAGCTTAGAAGCAAGCTTACGTGAACTATTTCATGCCATAGGCCCTCACTGCACACGTAAACTTTGATGTCGTCTCTGTCTGTGCTTCAGCAACTTTTCCCAACAAAAGCAAGTCGTGTCCTTCCTTAGAGCCAGAAATGACTCAGATGGGACGCAATCAGCCTACGCATTAACCAAGCGGGTGTCAGTACGTCGTGGCTTTCTCACAAACTAACAGTAGTTATTCGTGCAAAAAGCTGATGAATCAACATTATACACATCTGCTAGAAACTGAGAAAATAATGTCACAAAGCACGAAGTGAGGTGACGCACACAAGCACTGCCTGAAGCTAGCGTGCAACCATAAACAGTCACAGTAACACAGTAAATAAACAGAAGCGCGCACACGTAGACACAGCATGAACCTTCACCCCCACAATGAATACTGCCTCTTGACTCTTGCACCTCTTTCTGAGGCACACAGCACAATAATGGAACCATTGAAAAAGGTAGATATACCAACCGTCAAACACATAAAACCAAGGAGTAATTACGTGACTGTCGTGTTTTATTTCGCAGCACACTGCAGAACTCACAATATGCTCGCGCCTTTCATAAGGCGCATGAGCATTTGCTTCTTTCGAGATGGTTCTGAAGAAAGTGGCGCCGTACATTTGCACATTACTGTTGCGTACACTCCTCATTACTTTTCAAAGGCTTTTGTGGCGCCATTAGGACATACTTCTCTAATAAGTATTGTGTGGTATCCGGCGATTTGTCACAACTGCCAAATGCCTTTGAAATGATTGCGTCGTGCAATTTCATCGGCCACATTTCGCAAATTAGGTTGCGTGCCTTGAGGCGTTAGTGGTTTGGGGAGAAAGGAGGTCACCCTGCTCAACGAGATTGGGGATAGTAATTGTCTTTCTTTCTTTCTTTCTTTCTTTCTTTCTTTCTTTTTTTCTGCATTTCTGAATTACGCAGACTAAAGCAGCACCTCAATTTTCACTGGTTCTCAGCCTCATCATGAACCCATGTGAAAGTAACAGCTACTGTGCTTTCCCGAATGTGCTTCGTCAATGACAGCAACTTACAAAGCTGTACTAAAAGAACACACACCATTCTGGCAGTTGGATCCGGCATAGCCAAGTTTGCAGTGACAGGCGTACAGATCCATGCGTGGCTGACAGGCACCGCCATTGTAACAGGGGCCCGTGACGCAAGGATGAACACAGTTCTCCACGTTCACTCCTGACAGGGCCTCTTGCATCAGCCGCACTGGCCGGTTGTTGATGGTCAGCTAGATAGAAAGTGAAGGTACACCGGGCATTTTAAAGGTGTGCCGGTCCTAACCTAATGTGACACAACAGAGACTTTTTGCATATATGTAATATTCCTGGATTACCACGAATATTTTAGTGGCAACTGAAGAGCAGCGTAATTACTTGTAAACTACTTAATTTTTTCTTTACAGTTCTCATTACTGTCTATCCAATTGACCGTTATTATAACTCTCTAGCAAGTTTTCACTCTTCTTAGTATTATCTAACGTTTACATTCCTGTTGTATTAATACATAGGGCTCCAGTATGTGTATGCCGAGAAATAAATGCCCCTTCATTCGCGGGTTACGCAAGATGCTCAAAGTGGTTGAGAGTGACAACGTCACTTTTACTAACGCGAGTACAGTTGAACAATCAAAAGCACACTATATCCAAATGAGCTTAATGAAAGCGCAAGCGTAAGTGTCCTCACAAGTACATGACACACGAAATTTCTTTATTTTGTGTTTGAGACGCGCTACCTTTCAACCTCGAAATGTTGGCAGGTCAGTGACAGAATGTAGAAAGCTTGTGTTTAAAACTGAATCATTGAAACAAGGATGCAGCAGCACAATGTAGCGTTATCATTTATTAATATACGTAACAAAATTTACATGGCAACGGCCAAGGAACGAACCGCCTTCAAAGCACCGAGAAAGAAACTTTCTAATAATATGCGCTTTTCACAAATTTTCTTTTTGCCACCTGTATCTCACTGTATGCTGTTGTGAGGATAAAATGTATTGCCGTGACTTCCATCACCAAGAATCACACAGGTGTGACATCTGTCTTCAGAGAGTGCGGGATTGGGCGTGTGGGTGCACCACGACTATGAAATCTCAGCCGCGCAATAACCAAGAAAGCACAGAAGACAGGACAGAGAGTGCTAGCATGAAGATGAAGCGACAGAAACTAGGCAAGGTACCGTTGTACCAGGATCAAAGCTCTGAAAAGCATGAGATTGGGCGTGTTTGTATATGGTGATTGCAAGTTTTTGAAAGTTCAACTACCAAAGGAAAACAGAAGAGAGAACACAAAGCTTATAGCAATTTGTGTCCCCTCATCTATCCCCTTTTTCTTATTGCGCTGTTAATGGCTTGTAATCCGCTATAAGCTCTTCGTTTTACTGTGACCCCGAATCAAGTTTCCTTCTTTTTTATCTCAGTCTGAAATCGTCGCTTACCCTTTGTACACAGCCAACGAAGGACTGCATAATGTCGGCACCGACTGCCGTCTCCTTAGGGTCCGGCACGCCGCCCAGGTAAGGTTCAGAGGAAGCGAGAGCTGTGTGAATGCACCCGGCGAGTGGGCCTCCACCCTGGGTTGGCCGTCGATCTTCAGGGTTCCGAGTCGACCGGTGCGGGAGGCCTTCACCATGTGCCACTCACCGAGGGCCACCGAGAACGGACTCCTGCAGGGGTGTAAGCCCAATGCTCTCAACCAGTAGAAAAAAGCATGCAAAGGGCAAGGCTCATGAAGATCCCAACCTTCTTTTGTTGACGTAGGGAGATGGGACGAGAGGGCAGCTGAGGTTAATGAAAAGCTGTACCGTTACAAGTTATAAGAAAGGAACTGGCAGTATTTTGCTTTGATGGTTACACATGAATGACATTAGGTAGAAGTGCGCTACAGCCTACTGGTAAGTGTAACTTACTAACTAACTTCGTCATGCAATGTATGCTTATTATTGGCTAATGAGTACTTTTTAGTCGACGTCAATGCTTGTTTCTTGATTTCCATCAAGATATGGCTTTATTTTAATTTAGTTAAAAAATACCATTTATAAAGAAATAGAGGTCACCACGGCAAAATAGCTATCCTTGTTATAACGATTTTTTTAAATGATGCGACTGTTCTCAACCGTTGAGCATAAAAGGCACAGCAAAAAAAGTTACCGGAGGAGGTGAATAGCAAAGTGAATGCTGATGTCTTAATCGCTGACATCTGGGCTAGTTGTTTTTCGTAATAGCTACGTAACATCGTGCTTATGAACAGGATACGAACAGCATTGCAACCCCAACTCGCCAGAGTTTCACCTAACTTTACTGCACACTAAATAACACCCTTACATGTTTCTGTTCACAACAAAATTTAGCTGGTGTATGTCATCGTTGGTGTCTCCAGTTGTCCGGGTCCTGTTCGCGAGTATCACGTGTGATTTCGCCCCACGTTTAGCCACGCGAGCTGAACAGTGCAAGGAGTCTGAACGAGACAGAGTGCATGGTCCAAGCGAAAAAGAGAAAAACAGCACTATAGCGAAGTACTGGTAATGACCTGTTTAATCAAGTATTAATTTCATATTCTCAGTACTTACTTATTCAATCTGACACTACTGATAACTGAACTTCAACACTACTGATAACTCCAGTGCACTCACCAGTAACGCTGTTGACTAATGGAGTCATTGCAAAGTGATTTGCAGTTATCAGTTATACATAAATGATCTGGTTAAAAAATAACCATACACTTTAACCCGGGTATACCGAACTCGCCAAAAAACGTTTATTAGTTTGATATATGGCATAATTCGATATAGGTCCGGTATAGGTTTTGACACAAAGGTACATAACAAACTAGAAGAAAAGAACTTTATTAAAATGGTGGCTTACTTGCTTGCTCTAGTGTGGAACAAAATAGTCACGGATATTTTCTGTATTAACGACTTCGCTGCCTGCGACAGCACGCACGCCTCCACGTTGCCCAACGAGTCGGAGCAGCTGAGGCCGCAACCTTCCACATTCAAGCAAAAGCGCCGGACCTCAAGTGCACTAATAACTTCGGAGGATGTAGGCAATGGGCCGTCGTCGATTTGCATATTGCTGTCGCTTTGGCTCGTGGTCGGCACGACGTCTGCAATGTAATCTTCATCCTGTAATTGGCCCATGATGGGGACATCATCGTCCGCACTGACGAACTCGTCGAATGTCGATCCGTCGATAGCACCCAGGAACTCTGCCAGCTCGTTCCACACTTCGGCGGAAACACCTGCGGTGTCTTCAGTGCTGTGAGAATTTGGGGTGTCATCACCAGGCATGTCGAAGCTTTTTCGACTCATCTAAATTAGCTGCCAACAGCATGGACACACGAGCTTTGTTTGCCCTGCCGCCGCAAGTCTTGTCGCCACGACACTTAAGTGTCTTGTTTGGCAACATTTTCCGAAATAGAGCGGTTTCATCCGCATTGAAGATACCTTGGGCTTGATTGATATCTTGCTGCGATATTTCGCCAGTTTTCTTCGAGCCATTTGTCTACAATGTCCAGGTCCGCCGCTCTGCTTTCACCTGTAACACCTTTGCTAACGATGTCGTGCCGTTCTTTGAACCGTTGGAGCCAGCCTGAACCGCCTTGGAAATCATTCCTGCCAAGCAGGAAAGCAAAGTCCTTGGCTTTCTGCTCGATCATAGAGCTGGACACCAGGATGTTTCGCGACCAAACGTCCACAAACCACTTGTAAACGGCCGCTTCAACATCTCCGTACACAGCAGTGCGCACACGTCGGGCGCCACGGGCACCTGGCCTCTCGTCGGACGCCACCGTCCGACGCAACCCGCCGCTTTGGTGATTGGTCGTTGTGCCGCATATGCGACGACCTCTAAGTTGGCAGCTCCCGGCCGTCTCTACGGGCTGCCATTGAAGTTTTTCAGACGTCCAGCTGAGCAAGGTGGTTGACATTTCCGGGCTTTTTCCCCGATGGCGATGGTAGTAGCAAGGGTCGTTATCATTTCCGTGCGATGAAGCGGAGTTGTTGTCTTCAAAGAGTGCAGGATTGGGCGTGTGGGTGCACCACGACTATGAAAGCTCAGCCGCGCAATAACCAAGAAAGCACAGAAGACAGGACAGAGAGTGCTAGCATAAAGATGAAGCGACAGAAACTAGGCAAGGTCCCGTTGTACCAGGATCAAAACTCTGAAAAGCATAAGATCAGGCGTGTTCGTATACAGTGATTGCAAGTTTTTGAAAGTGCAACTACCAAATGAAAACAGAAGAGAGAACACAAAGCTTATAGCACTTTGTGTCCCCTCATCTATCCTTTTTTTGTTATTGCGCTGTTAATGGCTTGTAATCCGCTATGAGCTGTTCGTTTTACTGTGACCCCGAATCGAGTTTCCTTCTTTTTTATCTCAGTCTGAAATCGTCGCTTACCCTTTGTACACAGCCAACGAAGGACTGCATAATGTCGGCACCGACTGCCGTCTCCTTAGGGTCCGGCACGCCACCCAGGTAAAGGTTCAGAGGAAGCGAGAGCTGTGTGAATGCACCCGGCGAGTGGGCCTCCACCCTGGGTTGGCCGTCGATCTTCAGGGTTCCGAGTCGACCGGTGCGGGAGGCCTTCACCACGTGCCACTCACCAAGGGCCACCGAGAACGGACTCCTGCAGTGGTGTAAGCCCAATGCTCTCAACCAGTAGAAGAAAGCATAGAAAGGGCAAGGCTCATGGAGATACCGACCTTTTTTTGTTGACGTAGAGAGATGGGATGAGAGGGCAGCTCAGGTTAATGAAAAGCTGCACCGTTACAAGTTATAAGAAAGGAACTGGCAGTATTTTCCTTTGATGGTTCCGCACGAATGACATTAGGTAGAAGTGCGCTACAGCTACTTGTAAGTGTAACTTACTAACTAACTTCGTCATGCAATGTATGCTTATTATTGGCTAATGAGTACTTTTTAGTCGACGACAATGATTGTTTCTTGCTTTCCATCAAGATATGGCTTTATTTTATATTTAGTTAAAAAAATACCATTTATAAAGAAACAGAGGTCACCACGGCAAAATAGCTATCCTTGTTATATTGATTTTTTTAAATAATGCGACTGTTCTCAACCAATGAGCATAAAAGTCACAGCAAAAGAAGTTACCGGAGGAGGCGAATAGCAAAGTGAATGCTGATGTCTTAATCACTGACATCTGGGCTAGTTGTTTTTCGTAATAGCTACGTAACATCATACTTATGAACAGCATACGAACAGCATTGCGACCCCAACTCGCCAGAGTTTCGCCTAACTTTACTGCACACTAAATAACACCCTTACATGTTTCTGTTCACAACAAAATTTAGCTGGTGTATGTCATTGTTGGTGTCTCCAGTTGTCCGTGTGCTGTTCGCCAGTATCACGTGTGATTTCGCCCCGCGTTTAGCCACGCGAGCTGAAAAGTGCAAAGAGTCTGAACGAGACAGAGTGCATGGCCCTAGCAAGAAAGAGGAAAGCAGCACTATAAGGAATGATATAAGCACTGGTAATGACCTATTTATTCAAGTATTCATTTCATCTTCTAGGTACTTACTTATTCATTCTGACACTACTGATAACTGCCCTTTACCACTACTGATCACTCCAGTGCACTCATCAGTAACGCCGATGACTCTAGTGGAGTCATTGCAAAGTGACTTGCAGTTATCAGTCATACATGAATGATCTGGTTAAGTAATAACAGTAGCATAAAATGTATGAAAAGAAAAACTAAAGCAAGCACATCAATGCCGCTAAAACTGTACCATGCCGCTAAAACTGTACACCTCCTTCTATGCTGACTTTCGAACACCTAGCTTCGTCGTTACTGTGTTTTCTTTCTTTATTTTTGCTTTTGTTTCATTATTGAACGTGTTCGATGCGCGGTTTTGTGCGATGTACCCACTCCTGCTATAGCCCCAAGAGGGGCTGCAGTATGTTAAAATAAATAAATAAATAAATAAAAATACAACTCACTTAAAAAAATCATAAAAAAAACACAATGTATGGGCATAATAAACTTTAGGTAACCAGATTACAAGTGATAATTAAAAGATTTCTAAATGGTGTTTCTATGGTGGGTGCACTTATGGCATGCCATCCTACAATCATTCGTCGAAACAGAAAAACTTCGAAACATTTTAGTTGACTTATGTGGAGCGATTGCGAACATTACAGCATTGCCTTTATTTCATAGTGAGTGCATGGATTGCGAATATTGCAAGCATTGCAGTTGAACATTTTCATTTAGAAACGTGAAATGTCCTCTCATCTGCTTCACTAAAGCATTTGAATGTGGTTGTTTCTTTCTGAGTTAAGTTTCATTGGTTTTCATCTGGTAATTTTGACTGTGTTGACTTAATATTAAGCCCCCCAAGGCCTTCGCAACTTTACCTGAGTACTGCTGTGCCAGTAGAGAGGTCGAAGCGGAACTCGACGTGACCGTCGGCCATTTGGAGCGACGCAAAATCTCCCGTGCCGTCCATCTTAGCTCCGTTGTAGAAAAAGACACCATGCGGTGACAGAGGCTTCATGACCAGCTGGACGTCCAGGAATGACAGATGGTCATTGCCCAGTCCGGGAAACCGGAGGTAGGACGACCCATTAAAAGATGGCACCACGATCTCCACAGCTGCATAGATAAAAGAGCACGCTTACCCCGTATATTGCCACTTTTCGGGCAAGACATTAGTACAGCCCATATGTTATTCCTTCTCCCTTCCCGTACGTTTACTCACGTACATACTCTGACCTCATTAGTCCCCCTTGCTCATTAGGCGGAGAAACAGCTGCCCTCTTCCATACTCTCTTGAACTGCATGAAAGATCATTCCCTACCCACTCTCCTGGTCACTCCCTCACTTGTTGGGCAAAATAATGATGTCTAACAGCCCGGTGGTACAGCATCGCGCCATGAACGAGCCCCAGAAGTGGCTTACAAGCACAGTTCGGCCGAATATATTGCCTTATAGATGACATTAGGTTTCATAAATGTTTTTTTTTCTTTTTCTTCTTCTTTTGGGATCTGATTCTGACTAAGCTTTCGTGAAATTGTGCAGGCGTACATTTAAGCCAGCTTCGCCACCTCTGGTCAATAATCCTCAGGACTGGCCGACTACCCGACATTGATTACTGAGTTCAAGAAACATCCTGCGTTCTACTTTCCTCCGTTCAACTTCGTACATACAGAAAATGTACATGTGTATTCCTACACCACGCATTGCTACATCTGAAAGCAGGCTTAACAGAGAAGGACTGAGGAGCCAGCGTTAAGAAGCATGCCCTGAAAATTCTTAAAAACTTAAAGCCACACTAATTAGGAACGGTCATGTAGCTTGTATTAATTTAATATACTACCCTTCTACAACACTCGGGAAGTGAGTTCGACCAATGACAAGTGGAAGTTTACTTATTTATTCCTTTATGTTTACTGCCAGCTCAATGAGACTATTACAGGAGTAGAATACACAAATATACAAACATTTATAGGTCATCTCTGTTCGCCCCGTCGCGGTGGTCTAGTGGCTAAGGTACTCGGCTACTGACCCGCAGGTCGCGGGTTCAGATCCCGGCTGCGACGGCTGCATTTCCTATGGAGGCGGAAATGTTGTAGGCCCGTGTTCTCAGATTTGGGTGCACGTTAAAGAACCCCAGGTGGTCGAAATTTCCGGAGTCCTCCACTACGGCGTCTCTCATAATCATATGGTGGTTTTGGGGCATTAAACCCCACATATCTATCTAGGTTATCTCTGTTCACCTCTTTCAATGGTAGATATCTAATATTTTGATATATTAGGTTCCAGACTTCAATTTTAATGGAAAAGTCATTTACGTAAAGGAGTCAGTGCCATTGAAAATTGTTTAACGATGATAATCATTTTTACACCTCTTTAACAATGATATTCTGACTACCTAAGTGATCAACACAAGTGGACTTTAACTAACTCCGTTCTGCGCAAGCCAATTCCACCTTATTTTTAAATAAGGTAGTTACCTGCTACCAAATTACCTGAGGGCAAGTGTCCTATCAAGTGACTATGTACTTCGGTCTGTCGAGCACCAGGCCGGCAGTGCACTTGTACTTACTTTAGCAGTAGGTACCCGGTGACTGCAGTTCTCTGTCTCCCACAGCAGCGACGCATGCTCGACTACTTCACTAAGCCTGTGGTAGATTAAGGTGTGCCCAGTGGCCTTTACAGAAAATTACGGGGCCACCTTCCCCGATTAGTACCCAAGAACAACAGAGTGCCAGACCAGTGTATTCTCCACTTTGAAAAAAAAAACAGCGAGTTCGGCACCAGGAATCGAACCCGGTACCTACCCCACTAGCAACGAGCGCTCTACCAAGTAGCCATCGCTGTGGGTATTTTATGGCTGCAGCGTTCCTAATTTAAATCCCCCTGCTTAAACTTCTTCTAGTTTCAGCGCGTTTTTATCCACCCTTGTATGACATCTCCTATTCATTACGCACGACGAAATTGCAAATGACGAAGGGTAACAAATGATGCCCGAAACTGTTGCATGATAGAGTACCAGTGTCTATACTCACGTGTTTCACATGAGGCTCCCGCGAAGCCCAAGGCACAGAGGCATACACCCTGTTCCACTCCATTGGCGATGCACTGACCGCCGTTTTGACAGCTCACTCCACTGCATCCGTCACCGCCACATTCATCTGCAATGGGCAAGCAGGTGAAACTCACTCGACCTAGTGGCTTCTAGTAACCAGTAAGGTAATGTGATTAGGTGCCGCCACAGCCTTCTCTGAAGGACGTTGTCAAAAACAGAGAAGGAAAAAAAAACAGCAGCAAGAGGAAAGTTGACCAGACAGGCACACGATTTGCTACCTATAGAGGGGTAATAGTGGTAGGTTCATGGAAAAATAAATAATGAGCATTGTCTCCAAGCGTAGAAGAGGTCGAACTGCGAAATCCGTTAGCCTCATTCAGGGGTATGCAATCACAATAACAAAGTGGCCTGAGCAAAACAAAAATACCTTCAAAATGTACCGCGATACTGCAGAGATACTCGGGCACAAAGTAATTGGGTTGCTGATACAAAATACTATCTAAAATATATTAGTTACATTCTATATATTTATAGCCTATGCACATGTGTATTTGCAGAAATATTGGCTTCAATATTTGTTAGCTGTGACCATTTTTTATATGAATGAACTGTATGACAGTATCTCAAAGGTTTTGTATGTCTCGCTTGAAGTATATCTGTTTTATTTCAAATCAACTTATTGGGGTCACTTCACCTGCTCAATGTGCAGAACCCTTTAAAAACTGCCCTTTCTGCTGTCTTTGCTTGTCGTTTCAGTAAGTAATGAGAGCCGCTGCTCTTGTTGCTTATCAGTTAGCCAGCTGTCAATAAATCACAAGAAATGTAATGAGTAGCCTCCAAACGATTTTGCAAAAGCCTCTGCAGTGTTATCTTGTCCGTAATTGTCTTACGCTTCCGCAACACTCAAGCATCGGACAGGAGTGCAGAAGCAAGAACACTGGCGGCTACAACTTTCGTGATGCATTGTGTACAGTCAAAAGACGTAGAACTGAAATTATCTTGCCCAATCTACTTATCTGCTAGCGTAAACAATTCATGGACGACAATCTCACAAACGGGTAATTATTTCACAACTTTCTCTTGCCCAGAAACCTCTATTCGCACAGGTATCTCAGGCAACCGTCACTGTACACTTTTCCCCTTAGAGGTCAGCTCACACGATGATTTGTACCAGAAAATTTTAAGAAAGCGTAAAATGAACAAAATAAGATTATCCAAATAAAATGGAACAACCAATCCATACTGCACAGTCAAAGCGACTAAGTATAAAAACATAACACAGACTGCAAATTTAATTGCTAACGTAATTAAGCATCAAGTATCGTCAACTCGTTTTTAAGGTAAGGCAACGAAAAATTCAGTGCCTGTGGAAAATAGCCTGAAACAGCTCTTTGGGACGCTTCCTGAAGAAATGGAGCATTTTCTTGGGAATGTTTCTGAAAAACCCTTAATAACATATTTATGATGGCTTGTCATAATTACCATTACGTTAATGCAAACTGAATTTTGCTATTTTACCAACTCGTAAGCAGAATTTTAGGGCCGAAGCTTCTTTAAGGCTGTGGTCAGTACAGCCGTCAGCACCTTTAACACGAACACTTTGACGTGTGGCCAGGGCTAGTTTTATTAATGCCAGCCGCGAAGTGCTCGGCGCTTTTGCCAAGGTAATACCTCGGTAGGCTTGGATGGTATGTCGGCATGTATGGTTAGCATCTTGGCAACAGAACCCAAACGTATGTGGTGTCAGCGTCAATAAGACTGCTGCAGGACACGCGGCAGAGCGTTCGTTTTAAAGGTGTTGACGGTTGTACATCCTCCGATGTATTAAGTAGTAGCAAGTAACCACCAGTGGCACATAGCCGCTCTAGAGCGGCTATGTGCCACAGGGGATGCGAGATGGTGGTACTTGATTTGTGGGGTTTAACGTCCCAAAACCACCATATGATTATGAGAGATGCCGTAGTGGAACTCCAGAAATTTCGACCACCTGGGGTTCTTTAACGTGCACCCAAATCTGAGCACACGGGCCTCGACATTTCCGCCTCCATCGGAAATGCAGCCGCTGCAGCCGGGATTTGAACCCGCGACCTGCGGGTCAGCAGCCGAGTACCTTAGCCACTAGACCACCGCGGCGGGGCAGATGGCGGTACTTGAGGTGTGCACTATATAGAAGCACTGACGGACGCCTGGACGAATGGACGGATGGATGCACGAACGTACGCACAGACGGAAAGACGGATGGACGGACTCGCGAACGGACGCACGGATGGTCGCGCGGATGGACGGAAGCAAGAATGAACGAACGGACAGAAGCACGGATGGGCTTACGGATGCTTCGCCCCTCTCATCATCATTCACTCCGTAGATATGCTGGGATTTTTTTTGCTATACAGGGTGCTCATATACAAGGTGTTTCAGCTTAGCACCGAGTAGTAAAAAAAACTCCCAAGCATTTCCCCGAGGGTGAACATGGTTAAGTGCGAACACACGGGGTGATGCTATGAGGGGTATTTATTAATTCGCACTATTATATTTATTAATCACACTATGGTGCCTTTATGGTGTAATGGTTCGTGGGAATCGCAATTTGATCACACGGGGGAGTTTACGTTAACTCACTGGCGAATGCCAACGGATTTCAACTTTACTCCCCCTCACGACCCGCTCTCGACGGGAGACTGAGAGAGAAGGCGGGCGCGCGAGAGAGAGGGGTGCGCGCGCAGCTGCAGCGAGTGAGGAGAGCGGAGGAGCGAGCGAAGGGGGAGGGGGTATAAGGCGCGTTACTGACACCGATATCAGCGTCGCGTCCGTCAATTCAGTGCCGAATTCACGCAGTTCGGAGAACGCCTCGACTCTCTCGAGACACGCTTCGAGGCGCAAATTGCTGACACAGGCGAAAACATACGCAGGCAGAGGGCCACTCGTAGCTCGCACGCCACGACAGATCAAGGTTACCATAGACAAGGATTGGAATCACATGCATCCGAAATCCTCGCTACCCCCGCATTGACACCCAGCGCCCTCACCCTCACTCCTACATCGGCGTCGCAAGCCGAGATTCCGATACCCACGCCTTTCCACTCAACGAATTAACCATGGGCAGCACAGCCCCACTCATTGGCGAACATTTAAAAGTATGGCAATGGAACTGCCGCGGCTTCCGCAGAAAGCGGAGCCTCCTCCAACAGTACATTAACACACACCTTGCTCGGCCAGATGTCATAGCGCTTCAGGAGCCCGGAACGCCACCCATATTTTCAGGTTATGAGTCCTATAATAGTCAAACAAAGGGCAAAGTGGCCATCCTGATTGACAAAGCGCTAACCGCAGTTGGCTTAGACAATATCCCAGACACCAACATAGAACATGTGATTGTGGAGCTAGTTCTCAGGCAAAAAAAAAGGAGAAAAGCGAAGTATCATCATTGTCAACGTATATAGCGCCCCAAAGCAAAAAAACACTGATTTCCATGCCCTCGTCCAAGGTGCCTGCCGATTGGCCCAGGGAAAAGAACTCTTACTGCTCGGCGACTTCAACGCTCTCGACGAACGCTGGGGTTACAACCGTTCGGATGTCAAAGGCAAACAGCTTGCGGCTGCCACTGAAAAATTTCAGCTTGAACTGCTTACGGATCCCGCGTTCCCTACCCGGATCGGCAACAGTGTGTGCAGGGACACTTGCCCCGATCTCACCTTCGCCCGTGGCCGCGCAAACTATAACTGGGACAACCTGCAGGAATCCTTAGGCAGCGACCACTTCATTCTCCGCACAAAAGTTACAGAGAGCGCAGCGCGTCGGTCTATTGGAGAAGCACGCATCACAAACTGGGACGCCTTTCGTCGTGAGAGCGAATATTCACTCGACAGCCTCACAAGCCTCACCGACTGGTGCACCCAACTTAAAGAAATTCGAGAGCGTTGGACCACCACCATTAACAGAACACCTTCACTGCCGGAAGTGGACGGCCATCTGCTACATCTGTGGGAAGCCCGAAGGAGCCTCATCCGCAGATGGAGGACGCAAAAACATAACCGACGCCTCAAGCTAAGGATCGCCACACTCACCACTCAGGCAGAGCAGTACGCTACAGAACTGGCGCGACTCAGTTGGGCCCAGTTTAGCGACTCTCTTCGAGGCTCATTGGGCACGGCCCGCACGTGGCACATTTTGCGCGCTTTGATGGACCCCACTCGCACAAAAAATGAGACGAATAAGTCAGTCATGCGCCTCATACACGCCTTTGAGGGTACTGACGATGAGCTGCTGGATCAAGTCCGGCGAAAATGCTTTGGCGATTTCTACCCACCCGCATCTCAAGCTGCGTATCGTGGACGTGCCAATGACACTCTCGACCGACCAATAACGGTGGACGAAGTTTACGCAGCCATTCGCAGCAGCAATCGCAACACAGCTGCTGGGGCAGACGGAATCACGTACTCCCTTATCAGGAACCTCAACGACAGCGCCGTACAAGAAATCACGGCGTTTTTCAATGATCATTGGCAACGTGGCACGCTTCCTCCTGAATGGAAGCACGCGGAGGTCATAATGATACCGAAGCCGGGCAAAAAACTTCAGATCGAAAACCTCCGACCAATATCCCTCACTTCCTGCCTTGGTAAACTCTTCGAGCGCGTCATCACTAATCGCGTGCAAGATTACCTCGAAGACAATGACCTTTTCCCGCACTTAATGTATGGGTTCCGGGCACATCTTTCAACGCAAGATGTACTGCTACAATTAAAAGAAGTCATTGATAACGCCCCCCAGCAAGGAGAAAACATTCTCTTGACTTTAGACATTAAGGGCGCATTTGATAACGTTAGCCACCAGGCCATACTTGAGGGCCTCAAGGCCCTTCATTGTGGGCAGCGCGTCTACAGTTATGTTCACGCCTTCTTGTCGGACCGCACTGCCACAGTCGATCTCGGCTCCATCCGATCACATGTTATCAGGGTTCCGAACAAGGGCACCCCGCAGGGCTCAGTGATTTCCCCGCTACTCTTTAATGTAGCTATGGTTGGCCTGGCCCATGAACTCCACCGCATCGATGGCATCCATCACGCAATGTATGCGGACGATATCACCGTCTGGGCCACGCGGGGT